CCTCAGGGCTACTGCCGGTCCCAATCCCGGATAAAGGATAAGCGGTTGGACATGTGGTCGGCACCACATCCCAACTAAAACTAACGACAAAAAAACGCTAACCAGAAAAAAAATTCAAACCATTTTCACTCTGCTCTGGGTGTTGGAAGAAGAATTAAAGCCGAGTTCCCTCGGAATTTACGGGGTTGATGCCTCTTCTGACAACCAGCGCAACCATTTTTTAGGTACATGGAACAGGGAAGTGAAGAAGAGCATCAGAGCTGACAAACGAAAATATGTGGAAGATCTAGCAATGATGGCGGAAAAGGCTGCAACAGACGGAAACTTGAGAAAATTGTACGAAACAACAAAGAAGCTCACCGGAAACTATCGTAAACCAGAACGACCAGTGTAAAGCAAGGAAGGCAAAGTAATCAGCAACACTGAGGAACAGCGAAATAGGTGGGAAGAGCACTTTAAGGAACTCTTGAATCGACCAGGTCCACTGAACACACCCAACATCAACGCAGCATCTACGGACCTGCAAATTAAAATTGGGCCACTTACATATGAAGAGATCATCATGGCCACCAGACAAATCAACAGTGACAAAGCAGCAGGACCAGACAACATTCCAGCAGAGGCAATGAAAGCAGATGTAGAAACAACTGCGAAAATATTTCACATCCTCTTCAAGAAGATTTGGGATGAGGAACAAGTACCATCAGGTGGAAAGAAGGATACCTGATCAAAATACCAAAGAAAGGCGACCTCAGCAAGTGTGAAAACTACAGGGGCATCACTCTTCTTTCATTTTCAGGTAACGTGTTCAACAAGGTGTTGTTAAACAGAATGAAGGATTTCGTAGACGCCCAACTTCGAGATCAACAGGCTGCATTTCGTAACGATCGATCGTGTACTGATCTAATTATGAAGACGTCAGTATCTGGAGAGACGCATATTATTCATTGGACAGCTAGGACGCAGCTGAACTATCTGAACTTTGCAGATGATCTGGCTCTTCTATCGCATACGCAACAACAAATGCGAGAGAAGACGACCAGTGTAGCAGCAGCCTCTGCAGCTGCAGGTCTCAACATACATAAAGGAAAAAGCGAAATTCTCTGATACAACACAATACACACCAACCAAATCACTATTGATAGAGATACCATGGAGGACGTAAGCACCTTTACATATCAGGGTAGAATCATCGACGAGAAAGATGGATCCGATGCATATGTGAGGGAGCGGATTGGCAAAGCAAGGGCTACCCTTCTACAGTTGAAAAATATCTGGAACTCCAAACAACTTTCAACCAAAACCAAAATCACGATTTTCAATACAAATGTCAAGACAGTTCTACTGTATGTAGCGGAAACTTGCAGAAACACCAAAACCCACTATCCAGAAGATACAAGCGTTTGTGAACAGTTGTCGTCACAAAATACTTCGTATCCATTGGCCAGATACCATCAGCAACAACCATTTGTGGGAGAGAACTTACCAGATTCCAGTAGAGCAGTATATGAGGAAGAAGTGCTGGAAGTGGATGGAACACACACTAGGAAAGGCACCTAACTGCGTCACGAGAAAAGCTCTCACATGGAATCCTCAAGGCAAAAAGGAAATCAGGGAGTCCAAGGAACATATTACGCCGAGAAAATAGAAAGATATGAGATGAATGGACAAACATTGGACAGAACTGGAGAGGGAGGCCCAGAACAGAGTTGGTTGAAGGAAACTGGTAGGAGGCCTATGCTCCACAGTGGTAAATATGCGTAAGTAAGTAAGTAGTTTTCAGGAAAACACGAATCAGTGAACAAAATTATTTTCAATTTGTGTAAATACAGTTTCGAAGATAAGGTCAAAATTCCTTCTTTAGCATGACATTCACTCACTAGAACCATGGTAAATAGAGATCAAAGGTCAAAGGTCAAGTAGGCATTTCTAAATAAATGCATTGTTGACAGCCACTTCCAATGGATTTGACCTCTGTTTACCATGGTTCTAGTGAGTCAATGTCATGCTAAATAAGAAATTTTGACCTTATCTTCAAACCTGTATTTACACAAATAAAAGGTTGCTTGTATGTGACTGACGAGAAAGCACGAAATGGTACTATCTCACAAAATATGTGACATTCAGTTTACTGACACAGTCATCTGAATTACTGAAACAGCTAAACTTGCTTGCATCACATAACAGATATTCACATAAATTGTGTTCGAACTGCTTGACATTTTTTAGTGAGTGACAAACATAATTGGTGTCTATACGAGAACTGTACACCAATCACTTACGTGTACTTGTGATACCCAGTGAAATTTATTGTGAAGTAGACCAGTTACAAACATGTTGAACTAGTTTCTCGTCCTAATTAGTTCATGCGAGGATGGTGAAAATGTTCGTCGTCGTGATAAGATACAGGTCATCCACTGCTAACATTATGATTTGATGTAATCATATTAAATGAAATGAAGCACTTAAGAGTAGGGTTTCAGGTCCATTAGGTAACGTTGTTTTTATTCTCCTCGTGTACCTGATATGTATCTTACAATACAAAATACTCTGAAACAATTTAAAGTGCGTTTGTGTGGTATAGAGTTAGATAAATTCATCTGCACTCATTAAAACTGCATGAACAATTATTTCGAATTCGTGTTATTTTTATGATGATTTCATGAGTAATCTTTTGTTGTTCATAGCAGTTCGTGACTTATTCATTTTCATATTGAATGTGTGCAAATTATTATTAGTAATCATGTGACCTCAGTTGCATCATCAAAAAGTCACCAGTTAAGCACAAGTCTACTCTCTTATATCTGCATCTGACACTTGTGCTACAATCAATTTTGCGAATAAGTGTAACACAGATAAGCCTGTCTTCACATCGGCAAAGTGGAAGAATGGTTGTGACTGATATTCATTTTAGATTGATTGCATGACAATTGTACATACAAAATAGCTGTAAGAAAGTGTTACGCTTATACAATAAAAAAAACAAGTAGATATGCAAAATATCTATCATAATGACGAAAACCTTCAACGTTGAATGTGGCAATTATGCATTCATGATGAATTGCTCACATGATTTCATTTGTCCAAACAATCAGATTGACTGAAAATGCAGTAATATTTTACAGATGAATTGAATTTGAGCATCAGATAACCATAGTTTATTGGTGCGTAACGGTGTCCATCTCTCTAACTATCTATCTATCGATCCGTCCGTGTATCAATCTCCATATCTATATATCTATTCACGTGAAAATACGTCTATAAATAAATCAATATATGTAGATGTATTTCCATTGATCAAATCATCAATTCAACTGCATGCCTCTCTATCTATCTATCTAACTATCTATGATATCATCTTCTTATATTTTTCAACCGATGTCTTTATGTCTTCACTTATCTGTCTTTTACTTTAATGAGTTCTCTTTTTCAAATAAAATTACATTGTATATGATTTAATGTTCTATACTTTCACGACATTACAAACCAAATTGCTTTGAGAATCAAAACACTTTTACGCTAAGTTACTGTGTTGGTATTCATAGTGAGACTAGTTTGTGCAATCGGTTGAATAATAGTTCATTTGTATTGATTACTCGAGTCTTCATATTGATAGTCAGTTTTGCCACTGACATAGTTCTAACACAACTATGTACTATTTTTTAAGTAATAACTGCCGATGGATCAATCATTACTGCTTGATAAGAATTTATCGGAGTGTTAGTGGAGTTAATTTTATTAATCAATATTACTGTTTATTGAAATTATTGAGTTAATCTCATTAAACGACTATAAACGTCCCACAAACAAATTCAATATCATAAAAATATGAAATTTAATGTTCCTAAAATAAAATTCTGTAGTAGATATTTTAGGATCAAACAGAGTTCTTATGAATTATTTATGATTAGACTCATTTAATAATGAAGGTTGAAGTCACCTATGTACAGCTCATATAATAAATGGTGAAGTGCATATCCGCTGAGATTGAAACGAATCAAAATTTAACTGGTACACAATACTTTTCAGGAAAACACGTATGAGTGAACAAAATTGTTTTCAATTTGATTGTCGTTAAGCCTCACTGTAATATACGTGAATATTAAGTTGAGAATCTGAAAGCAAGATTTTGGCAGAAGAACGAATTTCATCAGACTGTAAAGAATGACACTCATTACATAAGGAAGACCTGTCACGGTGTTTGATTATCTAACCTAGATGATTTGTTTGATAAGCATTCGTTTTTCTGCTGAACAACACCATCAGTAAAAAATTTGAGTTAATGTGAAGCTGACGAAGTTTTTCGACTTATTACTAGTAGATTGTTCCACTGTCATCGTGCACTTTTTCCTGAACAGTGCTGAGCAAAAATAATGAAAAAGCTCTGGTACTGAACAGTAATATATAAAAAAATTGCTCAAATGAATCACGGAGCAAGCGGTAACTCGCAAACTACAAGGCCAAAGGAAAGATAGCATCCTGCGTCCAGAATTGCAGACGACACTTAAAAATCAATAGCAGTTTGGTAAAACTGATTAGGAATTCGAAGGATCGATTCGGTTGTAAACGGCTAGTCAGCGGCCTGTGTTCCATTAGGTGTAAAATTTGTTACAAAGTATGAAAGTCAGTCGGTAGGTAAGTATTATAGCTTATGAATTATCATTAATTTGTGACCTGATGATGTTATCGGCGTGAAAAACAAAAGACAAAGTGTTGTATAATATTTACCTTCTGTGTGAACCATACACAGAGACAACATTTGAATAACCACTAAATATCAAGAGGGACAGAACTGCCTTTCTATGCTTGATGATTGGTTCAGTACTAACTATCTTTGAACACAGAGCAAGAAAAAAAACACCACTGATCACCTGTCTAAAATTCTTAACTGTCTTTCAGACTTTCGTTTTTGTGCATACAAAACCACACCACATCACACCAATAAGTGGAAAATAACAACTGCAAATGCGTTGGCCGAAAGTGATAATGGGTAGGCTAGACTTTCACAATTATCTAACGATGAAATTGCATTGATAAATTGTGTGATAACAGTTAACGCCGACAATGTAAAACTTATGTTACAAAGAATATTTAGGCTTCAAAATCTAGTTACGCAATAATTATACACTATTCATAATATTAGAAACAACAATAATTATAATCAATGAATTTTCATGCTTAGTCACTGATACTTTATTCATCGTTCGGATTAAACACTAACGTTAGTATAATTCTCTTCACATTCACGTACTGAGCATATAGTCACGTTTCGTTGATCTACCAATCATTTTTTTCTGTCATGAGTCATTTCTTTCAAAAACAGAGTATAAAAATGATGCGAAATTTGTTGAAGCATCACTTGTGTTGCAATATGCAATTGTCAATTGTCAAGGTTTTATTTATCTTAAGTTTGGTGCAAGTGTTCAGTATAATTACACTCGGTAAGTTGGCGTAAATATGTTTTCATTCTGGATGCATTTTTGTCTTCAAATATCTTTCATTCTGCTAAAGGAATATGCCACTATTGAAATTTTCGAGAGACCACAAAAACTTGAAGTTGTAATGACTAGTGAATGAAAACAAATTGCTGTAGACAGATGAAAATGATTAGTGATAGCTATTTCGGAAGTTAATAGGTAAAAGCCAATGCAATATGTTTTTATTCGCTCTGTTTGCATGGCTGTGTAAATTGGTGTTGAACATCTGTCTTCACGCTCACTCAACTAGTAGGTGACATTTTTCATGTCATCCTGCGACGAAACACTGATATCTGTTCTGCATTGATATCATAGGCTTGCAATGTTATGATCTATTACAGTTGCGGTATAGTAAGCTTACATTATTAGGCCAGTGGTGATCCAGATGCAAACAAGCTCTTGTGAGATGACAGCAAAAGAAACTGTTCACATTCGCATGTTTTATTCATAGTAGCATCCATTTTACTGAATCAGTTAGAGAATGCATTCAGGGCAGTGTGATGTTAAAGAAATGGTCTTGTTGTGATTCACGTCACCAGAAATTTCGATCACTGACGAAGTGATTAGAGAATAGAAATCTTTTTCAATGAACGCAAATATATGTCAATGAATATAAGAAAATTTTGATCTTCCGTGAATACAGTTCATCGTTCAACTAAATTGAACGTCACATTCTCACAGTTTAATTTCATCTTAATCTGATTATATATGACTTATCAAACTGAATTCTACCTTATATCAATGCTTAACAAATAATATTTCTTAACATATTAACATTTCCTAATGTTAGAAAACTTTTTTTACCAAGTTAATTGTAATTCTTTTTTTAAACTCATCTAATGATTGTTCATTTGATGTTTTTGTCACAGGTATACCACAAAAGAAAGCCAGTAAGTACATTTCCATCTTCATACATCACAAACATTTATCACTTCAATATTCTTTTCAATTTCAACTCTTATGAACAAATTGTCAGTTGATTAATTTTTGTATCACATAGTATATGTATATCAACGTTCGAATGTCTATACCATCAAAATAATGGTATTTATTGTTTCTTTTTCTCAAATCTCTACAGATTCCGGAGAAAGTGGGCGGAATACTTACTTCAATAAAACTGCATTAGACATCGTGCTAGCCAATGTGTCAAGTAAGCAAATAATGATTTCATGATTTATGATGAACGTAACAATAATGAATATCATTTTATCAAGAATGATGTTGTGTACAACTCGTATTAAACAAAGATCCAAGTACTCATGTCACTTAGCATCAATCACACTGCAACAATGAGGACTAAATATGTTTTTGAGTTGTTGATATCAGTTGCTAAAGTGAAATGTACACTTATCAAATACACAATTTATGTGTACAAATTCAACTGTGTATCTCATTGGTTGACAGTCATTTATTGGGAGAAAATAGTTCAACTGACTGAAATGATTGTTATGTTAAGTAAAATGTTTTTTCACAGACCTGACATAAATAATTCACTTGTAGGCAATAAAAGAAATGATTGACAGATATAACCTTTTCAAACGAAATTTAGTTCACAATACATAACTTTGTTAAATATGTTTATTACGTATATCAATGTTCGAATGTCTATACCGTCAAAATAATGTTATTTATCGTTGCATTTTCCCAAATCTCTACAGAACTAACTACGAGGGTGCCTTACTTCAATAAAACTGCATTAGACATCGTGCTAGCCAATGTGTCAAGTAAGCAAATAATGATTTCATGATTTATTATGAAAGTAACAACAACTTGTCTGGTTGAATATTAATAAAAGTAGTTTATTCATCCCATTGCAAATGAACGACAAAACGGTCCATATCACAAATATCCAACTGATTACCCATGTTAACACAAAATCCAGTTTCATGACTTTATAATGAGTATCATTTTTTTCAAGAATGATGTTGTGTACAATTTGTACTAAACAAAGATCCAAGTACTCGTATCAGTTACCATCAATACCATTGCAACACTGAAGACTAAATATTTTTGAATTGGTGATATTAGTTGCTAAATTGAAATGTTATCAGGAAAATAAGAGCGTCATACACGACTAGGAAAACATCAAAATGGCCATTATATTTTATCCCATTAGTTATCTCATGTAAATGAATAGCGCGTAGGTTGCACAATCACCAACTACATAGGTTTTGTGTAAAAATTTAACTATGTATCTCATTAGTTGACAGTTGTTTAGTGGGAGACAATACTTCAATTGACTGACTTGATTGTTATGTTCAGTAAAATGTTTTTTCACAGACCTGACATAAATGATTCACTTGTAGGCAATAAAAAAAATGATTGATATACAAGACAGATATAAAATTTTCAAACGAAATTTTGTCCACAATCAATAACTTTGTTAAATATGTTTATTACGTATATCAATGTTCGAATGTCTATACCGTCAAAATAATGTTATTTATTGTTGCTTTTTCTCAAAACTCTACAGGACACAGACTAACTACGAGAGCGCCTTACTTCAATAAAACTGCATTAAACATCGTGCTAGCCAATGTGTCAAGTAAGCAAATAATGATTTCATGGTTGTTTATGACGTATATCAATGTTGGAATGTTTATACACCTAAATTCATGTTATTTATTGTTCCCTCTTCTCACCACTGTACAGCTCGCCATAGGCATTAGCCGAAATTACACCGGATGGATACACGAGATGGATACATTCAATTATGATGTACCTAACTTATGTACAATTCAGCTAGAAAACAGCTGTTTTTAAACTTACTCTTAGTTATTATAGTTTTGTTCTATTGATGATTATATTTTATAGGAAATACAAACTGGTAAAAGATAACAGACTTGTGATTTCCTTGTGTTAAATCTGTTGATGCGTCCGTCTAAACACAGGATGTAGATATGTGTGGTTTTCAAGTTCAGAGTAAGCAACCATTTGTCAAATGAACCGCTTATCGGATAATGAAAAGAAAGCATACATTAGGTATAGATGTCAACTCGTGAGGTTTCTTGGACGATTAACGTGTCTAAATGCCTTCAGAGAAAAGAGTTTCATTATAACTGGTCACTGTGTCTAATAGTAACAAAAACCGAAAAAGAACTCACAGTAAACTAATATAAAACTTGATCAGTTTAAACAAAATTCACTGGAAGTACAAAACGAAGAATATCCATCACAAGAGTTTTGGGAGTGACTTTACACACTGTCAAACATAAGATTTGCATTACGGGGTTGTGAAGATTTTTAAGGTACACATTTTTTTAAATCATGAATCGATCAATGTTAGACCACCATTAGAAATTTGGAAGCAGTGCACGGCCGTTTCGTCCTGGTGTGGGTCTCCCCAGCAGTGCGCATCTAAGACTCCTGCACCTCGCAGGATTCGACCTCAGGACCTTTATTATTGTGAGTGAACTCATATCGGACCACTGGGCCGGTATCTAACGATGTTGATATCAAGCTTGATCAATTCACGGTGTTGTGCAACCTCATACACAGTCTTCTGTAGTTACTGTCTACACCCATAAGATTGTCTACTGAATATAAATAGGTAGTATCAACACTACCTTAGAAACCCTAGGAGCAACGAAAGAGAAATAAGGTCAGCAAATGTAAAAGAATTAACATTCGACTATCAAATCAACCATCATGTTAAATTCAAATAGCATTGGTACTACTGTTACTAAATAAGGTGGACAGACAATATAGCCGCAAGCATCAGAACTATGGTAATCACTCTCTAGGTCGCAAACCAAAAGCTATATGAAAATAGAATTGAACCCTTACTCCAGTGACTGTTGTGAGGCACAGAAAAACTATGTACATTTATGATACTCAAAGAATCACTTAAGGTTTCATCGCTATTCCTTGGAGTTATCAGGAATATGCTCAAAAAATCTTCAAACAAGTTTATTCAATGTACTCTTGATAACATGAGAAATGGAGTGGTTATATTGTAGTTATATATTATATATATATATATATATATATATATATATATATATATATATATGATAATCGATACTGTAATCGAATTATTCAAATACAAAATTATGGTCAATACGGTTATCGAATAATTCAAACGAAAGTACAATGAATGAATGATGAGATGCTACGATCTCGAGGTCAACTGATCGGTCCACCAAATAAATCCAAAATAAAGATATTTATCACGCAAGTTCCGGGGATCTAACATCCCCAAAACTCCTCCCCTTTTTCATAGCGTTTACAGAAAGCTTGTAATTGGGTAGAGGTAAATTGAGAGCCGTTGTCAGAAACGATCACATCTGGTATGCCATTTCGACAGAAAATTTCAGTTAGGAGCTGTATTGCATCAGTTTTAGTAGGGGAAATTACGCGGCTGATTTCTGGCCATTTTGAGAAGGCATCGACCACAATTAAATACATAGTTCCATTAATTAGATCAGCCAAGTCAACATGTATCCTGGACCAAGGATGCTCAGGTTTGGGCCACGAAATCGGCGGAATTTCATCATTCATCTTCGCCGCCTGCTGACACCGCATGCAATTTTCAACCATGATCCATGAGAGGCCAGTATGCATAACTCCCGGCTATGGACTTCATTAGTTTAACCCCAGGATGGCCGATATGGAACTGTCTCAGCACTTTTTCACGAAGGGATTCTGGCACCACTACCCTTTCACCAAACATCAAACAGTCTATCACAATGCATAGTGAGTCCCGCTGCTGATACAGTTGCTTCATGTCACCCTCAAACTTCTTCGCTGGTCAACCGTTAGTGACATATTTCATCGTCATCTTGATGATGGGGTCGTGTCTAGAAGCATATTGTATGTCTGTTGCAGACACCGGTAATGCGCGAATTGCGGTTGTCAGACAACATTATGCGTGGTATTCTACTGACAGAGATGCGACTACCATGTTCTGCTCAGCCGCCACTTGATCATTAATGAGTCGAGACAAAGCGTCCGCTTGACCGAATTGCAGAGCGCTTCGATTTTTCATTTCAAAATCATACCCAAAATGTACCACGGCCCATCGCGGAAGACGATTTGCAGAATGGGCTGGGATGCCAGATTTAGAACCGGATACTTCTAACAGAGGCTTGTGATCTGTGAGCAGCGTGAATCTCCCACCGTACAGAAACTTGTGTAAACGGCGAACAGCAAACACAAGAGCAAGAGCTTCTTTCTCTTGCTGGCTGTACTTCTATTCTGCTGAGGTTAGTGTACGGGATGCATGCGTAACGGCTTTTTCTGACGAGTCTAGAAACTGATGTGAAATAACAGCACCTAGGCCATATGCTGAAGCGTCTGTTGCTACGATGATCGGCACGGATGGATTTTAATGTGTTAATAACAATTCTAAACTAAATATAGACTTGAGTTTACCAAAAGCCGCGTCGCATTCTCTAGTCCAGTTGCATTTGTTATGCTTCTGCAGTAGACAGTTCAATCGATTGTGAATATCATGAAACGAGGGAACAAGTGCTGAATTATAACTGATTCATCCGAGAAAAGATCGTAATTCCGAAACATTAGCAGGAGTGGGCATCAGTTTGACAGTTCAGATGTTCCCAGAATCCGGTCCGCGATAGTCGGCATCGAAGGTGAAGATAGATGGGGCAGTCCTAACTCCAAAAGGCAGATGGTTGTACTGGAACAAACCACGATTGGTATTGATAGTAAGCACCTCTTTTCCACATGCAAAGAAGCATCAGCTAGATCGAGCTTTGCGAAAAACTTTCCCCCATTCAGCATAGTGAACAGATCTCCTGAGACTGGCAGAGGATAATGATGCTGTTCTAGAGCTGAATTTAGACCTGTAGAGAAGTCAACACATATACGTATTGTGCCGTTGGCCTTCTTGATAACGACTATAGGTTCTGCCCAATCAGAATAAGAAACGGGAGTAGTAACCCCTTGTCGTTGAAGGCGATCCAAGCTTTTATCTACTTTTTCTAATGTTGCAAAAGGTACGAGTCTCTTTGGACGAAAGCAGGCTTGGCCACAGGTTTCAACGGAAGTGTTGCTTTTATGGCAGTGCACCGACCTAAGCCAGGTTCAAAAATGGTTGAAACTTTCTTGTATGTGAATCAGGGTCATGTGGTTGTGAAACCAGGTGGCATATGGTATTTAACGGGACATCAGCCAATTTTAGCTGGTCGAACCAATCTAAACCAAGTTAATTTAGATCAGCTAGCGTTATATAATATACTCCAGTAAATGACGAGTCTCGGAAGGCAACTTAACATTCCAATTGTCTAATAGACGAAGGTAATTATCACATGGTGTAGGAGACCTCTGTGTTGTATGTTCTGAACTTGGGGTAACCAATTTGGTCCAATTTTTACGTGAGAGGATGGTGACATCGGATGCGGTATCAATTTGCAATCTGTACAAATGCCCGTTAACATTAGGAGTAATAAGTTTCCTCTCGCCTGCTGATGAGCTTTGGCAGGAAGATATTAGGCTCCATGCATTGGTACCGGATCTAAGAACAGGCGTCTTAGCACTTCTGGAACGGTTTCGCTTTTTCTTTAGTCAAAAGCCATCTTTATGACTGATGACCTTACACTTCCTGCATCTATGTTGCCTAAATTGACAGTTCCGTACACAGTGCCATGAGCCGCATTGCGAGAAAGCAGCAGGGTGATTCATTTTTAACGTTCGGTGGAGGTGGAGTGGGACGAACTGGGTGTAGCATGGGCATACTTGTTCTGATTAGGTGACTGCTGTACCAAATGAACTTCAGATCGGCTTGAACTACCACTCTGCACTACAGTTGAGTCTCATTGTAGGTTGATGAGAAGTTGGTACTCATTAGCCATATCATTATACTTGAGCTTCAGATATTGCTCTAGCCGACATATTAGCCTTGTTCTTATGTCACTGACCGTTTGCGACTGGAGGCTGCAGATGAGTATGAGGGCTCTAAACTGATCTTCCGACAAAGACTTCAACCGAAAGCGTTCGCATTCAAGGTTGACGATGCCCACGTGCATAAGAAAATCATCATCTTTATTCATAATTAGCTTAAAACATCGATGACGAGTAATAAATAGTGACGAGTTGTCGCCAACGCGTTGGCTCAATGTCTGAACTCTCTCAGAAAATAAACAATCTTGTGAGTTCAAAGGCAGGATCAAATTGCGGTACTTGTCCACCTCACTTGCACCAAACATTCGAAGTAGCAGCCGAACCTTACAAGCATCATCTTGATTGACTGAATCAAATCTAAATAAATCTTCATATCACCGAAACTACATATCAAAAGTAACATTGGCATCAAGATCATAATGAAATTCAGCAATGCTATTTGCGATGCCATCGACCGATGGAGCTGTTGTTGCATTAGATAAGCTGGGCTGTGTGGAAGGGGAAATCTTCATGTCTGTCAACATCTGCATCAGTTTCACCTGCTGCTTAAGTAATAATTCAAGTCTGGCAGGATCCATATTTCCAAATATATCGCTGCCACTGTTATGTTCGTCACTAGGTATTCTTGAAGCTATAACGAGTTCACCTCAGTCGATGAAAGCGGATGAGACAGTTACCAGCGTCCACATATGCTACCTTGAATCCGAAACTGCAAAACCAAAGTCCTGATTCAAATTATGACTACCAGACTATCGTTGGGCAGTTTCACGGTGTCTTATACTTACATAAAACAAGTGTTTATTATCCT